CAAGTTACCTGGAGTATTAATGGTGCTAAAATACAGGACTCTTCTCTTGGGAGAAGGTGCCCTTGAAGGATGGCATGATGTGCTGCTGCGTCTGAAATTCTTCCACGTGAGCTACCCCTCGGATGCAGCTCTGTCGTCAGCGCTACGTGTTAACCACTGCCAAGCTTCAACCTGATGCCAAGGGATTAAAATTTGAGCAGCTAAAAGGCGGAGAGATCCCTGGGCACTAAGAAACAAAGTCAGAAATTCTTAGTTTCCTAAAGTGTGTGTGGACCTCAAAGTGAATATTTCTCCCCAAAATCTGTCCCACGCTGCAAATCCTGTAAAACCCCTTCGTCCATGGAAAGTCCCTTGGCAGGTTGTGCTGCTCCGTGGGATTGCACCTACCACTGCTCTCCCTGTAAAGCAGGCAAAGCTGTTTCTGGATACGTGAGCCTTTTTACACCTACAGTAAACAGTGGAACAAACTTTCACCTTCAAAGCACAGCAGAGCTTGTTCAGTGGAAAAATACAACCTTGGCAGCCCTGGCCATGCAACTGATAAAAAAAAATCCTGCCTGTTAATCGCAATTCAAACAGAAATCCACTCCCCATCAGCCAGGGGAGCTTGTTTATGTGTTTCTTGGAACAATAAAACTCATTACCTGGCAGCTGATCAGCTTTTATAACCTAAGCAGGCACCTGACAGAGGGCTGCAAAAGAGAGCTGCTTCAGCACAAAGCCTGGTGTGGAAAAGCCAGCCAGCAACAGCAGGGCTTCGGTCCCAGCGGGGCACCGACAGGCACTTCCAGCTCTGTGGACGTGTGATGTCCTTTTCCAAGTCTTTATTGTGATCCCGCTGTCTCACATAATCAGAGTCTCACAGTGCCCAGAGCCCACAGACTCCTGCGAACTCGCTGTGGACAGGATCGAGCTCTGATCCCAAACTGCTCCCAGTGCAGACCAGGGGAGGGTAAGGGGCAAGAACAGCAGTGAAACGTAAGAGAGATCAGAGTGAGACCTGCCAATGTCACCTCAGTGCCACAGTTTTGGGGAGATGGGTGGGCTCAGCGGGGGGTTTGCTGGGTGTGTGGGTGGAAGGAGCGGGGTGGCCGGCTAGGTGGGGGCAGAGGAGGAGGAGGTGTGAGCCAGAAAAGGGGGCATGAGGGACTGGGACGGAGAGTGGCAGAGCCCGTGTGTGGCAGAGCTGGAGGACACCACGATGACACAGAGCTGAACTTTGCCTGCTGGGGGTGTGTTAGGAAGGCATTTTCATTTCTTACCCCTCATTTATTCTCCCTGCTTTGCTGTTTTTGTTTGTTTGGGATATCAGGGCACACAGTTCACCTGGTTTACAGCGTTGAACTCCTGTTTCCCCCCCTGGCTCCCACACGACCCAGCCATCCCCGCACGCTAGTGGGGCTCAGGCGAGACCCTGCCCCTCATATCTGATCCAAGACCTCGAGAAACCTGGCACGCAGCAGGCGTACGTAGGGCTTTCAGCTTATATAAATCTGTATTTCTACAGTTGCATACATCCCCATGGAAACCACGAGGAGTTTCCCCTTGGTGAGGATGGCAGTAACATCACTTCCTGCTGCTGACAAACCAATTTGTCACGAAGTGATAAAAAGGCATGTTTTGTGTTTGCAGGAACTGGCTCCGGGCTTTGTTCCTCCCAAGCCAGAAGCTGCTCACCCGCCCCGAAGGCAAACAATGGCCATTGTGTGCTGCACAGAGCAGGGATGGGGAGATGCGGACAAGCCCTTCGGGCCCCCAAAATGCCAGAGCTTGGACCACCAACACTGTACGAAGGTGGCAAAGCGCATAGAGAAAGCGCAAGTCATGGCAGTGTGTAATGGCAGCACATGGGGCTCCACACGGCACCCGCAGACAGGTCCCCACAGCCGAGGGGTGAATGCAGCCAACCCACACGGGGACACAGCACATGAGCCACGCGTAATATCCCCAGCAACGCGCAATACCCAGGGGATACAGCATACCCGGTTATCACATGACAAGCAGACACAGAGCTTCAGATTAGACGCATTTTGGGTAATCCCCTTGTCTCAAAGCTTTTGCCTTTCTTTTGTAATCAGCGCTTCGAAAAGCGCTGGGTGTACTCAAGCTTAGGGACTATCCTGCATTAGTCACCCTCGGTATCAGACTAGCAGGGCCACAAGGATGTGTTATATGCGATTAAGTCAAAAAAAGAACATTACATCCAGATCATACACAGGCAAATCTAGTTTGCCTGGTTACCACCTGGGTCTTTTTCTCTGTCTGGCTCCAGGGCAGCAGAAAGGGCACAGAGAGTCATCTGGAAATAGTGTTTAGGTGCAGTCCCGAAGAGCCCACTCTCCCACTCCCCAGACGCGTCGCAGCGTGATGGGGAAGGAGAAAAGGTCATGGTATGTGACTGTTTAGGGTGGTTAGAAGTCAGTACGCCTCAAACCTCATTAAACCTGTTTCTTATCCTTTCCCTTGTCCAGCAACGATGTCCACGACAGACATCTACACACAGTGTAGCCAATGAGACTCCAACCAGGGCTTTGGTTTCCCCAAATCTGCTCTGATCCAAGGCTGTAGGGAGGTTGGGAAAACAGCTGAAGCTCAGGCTCAAACCCACCCAATGCTGAAAGAAAAAATTAGCCCTGAGGTTTGTGCTGCATGTGGCCTTCCTGCTACATGCTGTTTACTACCATGCAGAGCTGGGGGCCATGGCTGATGGAGGGCTGCAGCCCAGCCGAGAGGCATGGCCAAGGAGCCCAGCCAGCTGGTCCCGTTAGCACCCATCAAGAGCATAAAAGGTTAAATGGGGCCAAGGTATTAAAGGAGGGAAAGCAGCCTTGAAGGGAGAGACGTGAGAGCTTGGGGAGAAGCAGGACCTGCTGATGCTCTGCTGGTTTAATTGGCATTGCTGTGAGGACTTCAGCCTGGCCCTGCTGGGGACCTGGCTTGGGGTCTGGCTCCCATCTGTGTGTTCTGTTCTTGCTCAGGCTGTGACTGTGTAATGCTGAGGACAAACTCTGAGGGATGAACCCAGGTACCTGAGAGGAAGCAGCTGAGTTGCTCTGCTGCT